TTCACCATCTGCCATGCTAGAGCTTTCCCGCCCTATCGGGGCACTGTGGAGTGGATCCCTTCTCCCCCCGCATCTCCTGGTGCCCTGTGAGCTTCCGCACACTCGGGCACCCCGTCTGAGCTTCTGGAAACTTCTTCTTGTTGGTGCTAAGCCAGGACATTAAGATGAGCCTCTGGACGCTGCCGTTGCAAGCAGGAAGCAGAACTCCACTTTTACATTAAGTGGACAAGCAAAACTTGTGAGTCCGGATGATCTGGAGAAGTGCATCATGCTCTCTCATACACCTGCCTGGTCATATATTATCTCGGCAGTACAAGGCAGCAGTTTCCCCCTCTCTTACACATCCTTAATCTGGATTGACCTCCAAGTATCAGTATGAGCCTTCTCTTTGCCCTATGTGTAACTGACCACAAGAATGTGGGGGACGAAGCACCCAAAAGGAGAGAGAGAACAAAAGGAAATGCCCTGCCATAGAGGCATGATGGGACGGGGGGGGGGGGGGGGCAAGGGGATGCCGTGGTGGTGGGAAATGGGCACTGGTGGAGGGATGGGTATTTGATCGTTGTATAACTGAAACCCAAGCACAAAAATTTGTAAGTCTACAACTGTACCTCATGGTGTCTCACTAATAAAAATTTAAAAAAAAAAGAATGTGGGGGACGTAAACTGTAGAGTCTGGGTGTCCAGCTCCATATCTTCCTCTGACATTTTAATCATGACAACACAGCTTTGACAGCATTGCTTTGACAAGACAACGTATACCCTGATGTTCTTTTGACAATGCTTATCCTATAACTGTGTGTACTCTCGCTAGTGATTCTTTCTCTGTGATGAAGTCATTAAGATGTAACTGATAGAAAATAGAATAAAAGGAGGCCTCTGGCGATCACTCTTCTCCTTGAGCCAGATCGATGCCTTGGCCCTCCGTGCTCTCTACATTCCTCTCGCGTGTCTTATCTCTGTGCCTCCAACCGAAAGAATATGCCGCACATTCAGGCACCCTGTCTGAGCTTCTGGAAGCTTCTTCATCTCTCTGCAGAAAGCTGGGGCCCAACCTGGCAGGAAAACGAGCCCTGGCTAAGCCCTGTCCGAGGCAGGCTGGGTGGCAGCCGCTGTGCTGCTGCTGTTCCTTAGTTGAGTGATTTTGGGAAGTCACTGGACCACTCTGAGCTTCTGCCAGTGAATGCTCTGCCCCACCCTCCACCACCCCGAGTCTCACCCAAAGCCTCAAGAAAACCCCAGGCTGTGGGTCTGGGCCTGGCACTGTCCTAGCGTGGAAAATGGAGGGCAAGGTAGGGGTGCCTGTCTGAGGGGAGGGGTTTGCTGGGTATGGGATGGGTCAGGAAAAGGTTTCCTATCTGTGGACACAGGAAGACTGGTCTGGTCACGGCAGAGTCTGTGTCCTTTCTGGCCCTGGGAGGGTGTGTGACAAAGCTGGTAACCGCTAAGCATGACTTTCCTTTTTTTTTCTTTTTTAATTTTTCTTTTGTTTTTTTGGGCCACCCCCAGCAACGCTCAGAGGTTACTCCTGACAGTATGCCGGGGATTGAACCTGGGTCAGCCGTGTGCAAGACAAGCACCCTACACCCCTCAGACCCCTCAGCCCAACCTTTTCTGGGGAAGTGTGTACCTAGATGTGCGTGGGGGACTCTGTGCTGGGGATCAGATGTGGCTTCTGCATGCCAGGCAGTGCTCCCGGCCCTCAGCACGGCTCCAAGCAGAGGCTGAAGTGCTGAGGGCCCCAGCACAGAGAAGGCGCAGCTCTGACCACAGAGGTGCCAAGGAATAGCTATGGGGGTTTTGTACAGATGAGGGCTCAGGGACACCCCCCAAAAATACAACAAAAATCCCAGGTACCAGAGCGATAGCACAGTGGGGAGGGCGCTTGCCTTGCATGCATCTGAAACTGGTTCCATCCCCGGCACCCCCATCTGGTCCCCAGAGCCCTCCAGGAGTGACTCTTGAGCACAGAGCCAGGAGTCAGCCCTGAGCACAGCTGGGTGTGGCCAAAAGAAACAAAACAAATGAACAAAGGAACAAAACATTCTGTTGTCAAAGCAACCCAGTGCCTTCCTGCAGAGAGAAACTCTCAGAGATGCCTGGATGGGTAAACTGAGGGGTTTTCTGGGGCCAGCCCCTGGGCAATCCAAAGCCTCCCCTTCAGGACAAACCTCAAGTTCCACCCAAACTCATTCCAAACACTGGCTCCTTCAGGCACCACGCTGGGCTCCAGAGGCCCAGAAATTCCTCCTACAACGTCCCTGAATTCAGTGCTCACAGTCTGGTGAGAGACGGGTAAATGAGGACAATTCAGAGGGTGTGCGTCTCCTGGGAAAGCACTCACAGGGAAAATGCTCAGTAAGCATTGAGGGAGGGCGGAGGGCTTCCTGGAGGAGGAGGCTTGGGCAGGGCAGGCACTGCCAGGCAGAGGCGGGGGAACAGTGCACCCACCATCCAGGACGCCTCTGTCTGAGTCCAGCGGTGCCTGCTCACAGCCCAGGCACTCTTGCCTGCACTCTCCATGCCCTGTTCCTCATCTGTGACAGGAATTTGCTTGTGTCGGACCCTGGAGGAGGAGGAGGAGGAGGAGGAGGAGGAGGAGGAGGAGGAGGAGGAGGAGGAGGAGGAGGAGGAGGAGGAGGTGGGTGTGTGAGCTACAGGGCAAGGCCCATTGGCGAGTGATGGGAATGAGCGTGTGTCTGTCGCTCGCGCAGGATCTCTGTAGGGAAGGAGGGAAACTGGGTGGGCGGGGAGCTCATCCCAGGGGAGGGCAGTGGGGGGAGGGGACACTCCCACCCCCATTTCTCCAGTGAGAGCACTGAGGCCCAGAGAAGGCGAGCGACTTGCCAGGACACACAGTCAATGCCTGGCAGGATGCCGCGGGGTGATAATGTCCATCACGCAGGCAGAAAGCGGTTTTCTAGCTGACCCCAATCCACCGTTTATTTCTGGATTTTAATCACGTAAGAGCCTCCGCTCATCAGCGTCTCGTCAAAAATAGAAATGTTCTCCTTCCTTTCTTGTTCTGGAACCCCAAACCGCTGGGCGGCCTGCTGGCTGGTGGCCATCGTCTTCCTGCCCTTCCCTGCCGCTCTCTTTCTCTGTCCCTCTGCCTGGTGGCCCCCTGTCCTGGCGCTGCGGTGAGAAGGGCAGCGGGGAGGGCCCTGCGGCTTGTGGGCAGGGCCAGGCTCCACGGAGGTCCTGGCACTGGCCCCCTGGGCTCGCAGCTAGCGTCCACTGTGGTCCTGTCCCTGCACACAGCCACCCCACCCTCTACGTCAGCAACCCCTGTGGCTGGCCCTGCCAGGTGAGGTTCTGGGCTCCTCCTCTGCGCCTCTCCCCCCCCCTCCCCCGCCAGGGTGCGGTGGGCCTTGGCTAGGAGAATCTGCAGCCACCCTGTTCCACCAGAAGGAGCCACCACTGAGCAGCCAGCCTGGCCCCCGCCCCAGAAGCGACTTTCATTGTCAAAAGTCCCCAAACGGGACAATAGCCCCTCATGAGAGGCCCTCACCCCCAGCGCCAGGCCTGTCAGCTTCTCCTGGTGACAGTCCAGGAGGGAGACCCTGGTTTGGTCCTATGGCCCCCGAGCACTGAGCCAGGAGTAATTCCTGAGCAGCGCCAAGTACCTGAGTGGCCCAGCTGAATTGGGGTCAGTGGTGAGGGAAGGCGCCCTCCTCCCGCAGTGTCTGGCCAGCTCACGCCTGTCCAGAAGCTCCACGTGTGGCCCCAGCGGGGACAGGATGGGATGGAGGCTTGGGGAGTTAGCTCCGGTGCACTCGGCTGCAGCCTTTTTCCTGTCCCAGAGGAACGGGCGGCAGGGTGGGAGGACTCGGAGCTCTGAGCAAATTTGGAACCATGTCACTCTGCTGCTCGCTGTTTGGGCCCCAGGAGAGCAGAGGGGAGGAGCTGGCCCCGCTGACCACTCGGCCAGCTGGAACCCAGGAGTCTCTCATTTACTCTCCTCTCTCTGTCTCTCTCTCCTCCTCTCTCTCTCCCTCTCTCTCCTCCACTTCTGTCTCTCTCTTCCTCTCTCTCCCTCCTCTCTCTCTCTCTCTCTCTCTCTCTCTCTCTCTCTCTCTCTCTCTCTCTCTCTCCCTCTCCCTCTCCCTCTCCCTCTTCCTCACCTCCAGAATCAGGAGAGACAACAAGCCTGTCCAGACCCTTTCAAGGAGTGACTGCAATGACTCAGGGTGGCATTGCTGGGCAGGATGCCCTGCCAGGGCAGTGCTGTGGTTCAGGGTCAGGGTGCTCACCTTGCAGGCGTGAGGCCAGGAGTTGGCGCCCCAGCACCATCCCACATGCAAAGTGCAACCCCAGTGACTGCCACTGGGGGATCCCTGGAGCCTCACCGAAGGGTGACCTCTCAGGTGTGCCCCCAATCAAGTGAACACATCCACCCATCTATCCATCCACCCATCCAGTGCATCTGTCCATCTGTCCGATCGTCCATCCATTCACGGTTTGAGTGTCAATAGAGCTCCGGCCCTCGCTGATCTCATCCCCTGCTCTCCCCAGCCTGGTGCCCGGGCTCCCCCTTCACTGTCTTCACTGACGCACGTTCCCTGGAGACCAAATCCACTGCTGCCTTCCCGCTGTCGCCCCTCAGCCCTGGCCCCAGTGCCGAGGGGATGGTCTCGGGCAGAGGTGCTAGCCTCGCTTGCACAGTTTTTTTTCAAAGAGTAATATAAAAAATGTATAGATTGGATATGTTTAGCTTAGCAAGGCCTGGGTGGGGAAGAAGACCGGCATAGCATTGGGGATGAAGAGTCGCGTGCACAGTTTTTGCTCTTTGTTTGTACCCTGTGATGTTCCAGGCAGCTCTGCACTCAGGGGTCCCGCCAGGTGGGGCCCAGGGAGCGCGTGTAGCGGAGCCGGAGGTGCAACATGGGTCAGCTGCAGACGAGGTGGTACCATCCCTTCTGGGCGCTCTCTGTCCCCCAAGAGTGGGAATGTATGTATGAAAATACTTATGTATGAATCATTTATTTATTTTCTGGTTCTTCTGTGCCTCTAGACAGGTTCCAAAGAGTTTTCCAATCTTTTCTGGGTTTTCTGGAGACTTACCGTACCATGTGTCAGCTTCTTAAAACATTGTTTGTGGGGGCTGGAGCGATAGCACCGCGGGTAGTGCGTTTGCCTTGCATGCAGCCGACCCGGGTTTGATTTCCAGCATCCCATATGGTCCCCTGAGCACTGCCAGGAGTGATTTCTGGGTGCACAGCCAGGAGTAACCCCTGTGCATCGCCGGGTGTGACCCAAAAAGGGAAAAAAAAAGCATTGCTTGAAGCCTGCCTGACACAGGATGGGTTGGGGGAGGTGAGCTTCCCCCGGGGTGCAGCTAATGGGGGTATGCATGACACCAGTCACGTTTAGGATGGCCCCAGGACCCTGAGGAGCCAAGGGAAGGGAACAGGGATCTATCCGTTTCTTGTATGGTGCGGGAATAGCTGACAGAACATGAGAGACATGGGGCGGGGACAGCAGACAGGACAGGAGGGACATGGGGCAGTGGGAACCAGTTATTCAAACCCTGCCCCTTTCACCCCGTCCTGCCTCCAGCCTGAATCGGAACCGGGGAGGTTTCCAGCCCCAGTGCACAGTCAGAGGCAGGTGAGTGGGGTTCCTGGGAGCTGAGTCAGGGGCCCACACGATGTCTCCATCACCAGAGCCCACAAAAGGCCGAGTGCTGGATCCCAGGTTGCCGAACGGCATTGTCACCATCCAGCCAGGCCCCTGAGGGAGCACCAGCCAGGACGCAGCGGAGTTCCTGTCCTGCAAGGCCAATCGGCTCCCTAGGCCTGGGGCAAGTCAGTGCCCCACTCAGGGCCCTCATTTCCTCGTGAGAGCAAAGGAAGTGAGATGCCAGGGCGGTGAGGCGGCTTTTCTGATAGCCTTGGTCACAACCCCCCTCTTAGCTCTCACACTAATGGTGCTATTAAAACGAAGCAACCTCTCCTTTCCAAAAAGCAGAAATCTCATCGTACTCGATATAAAAAAGAACAGGAGTGGGGCAAGCAAGGGAAACACTGTTCTTCGGGCTAATTTGCTCTGGAAATTTGCTCCCTTATGGGAGGGAGCCCCTAACACAGTCGGGGACCCCCCCAGTCTGCGTTCCTACCAGGCTTGGCCCTCCTCAGAGACTCACTCCTTTGGCTTGGGAGGATCGGATGCACCCAGAGGCAATATTCCTGTTGGCAGCTGTTGCCAAGGTAACACAGGGCCAGCAGGCAAACGGGTTTGGAACAACCAGCTCTTCTTACTCACTTTGGAAATTACCAGGAAGCAGCTAAAATGTTCTTAGAGTTGTATGGGCCGCCCAGGTGTTGTCTCTCAGCTCAGAGCCAGCGGCTCTTTGGGCTCAGGGAAATCACTCGCCCTCTGTTCCCTAAGCCCCTGCAAGGGCGAGGGGCTAACCTAGTTCCCAGCTGAAGTTCTCTAGGTTTCAGGGACAACCCCAGGCATGTGCTGAAAACTGCAAGCCAAGTTTGCCTATTTTCCCAATGGGAAAACCTTTTTTTTTTTTTTTTGTAATGCTGGGACTGGAGTCCAAGCTCCAAACATGCCAGGCAAGTGATCTTTCACTGAGCTACATCCCTGATCCGGGAAAAGTAATTTTTTTGTTGGGGGAGGGGTGGGTAAGAGGTGACACTGCAACTTGGCAGTGCTCAGGGCTTTCTCCTGGCTCTGTGCTCGTGAGCACTCCTGATGGGGCTCAAGGGATTCTATGAGACCCTGGGGGTTGAACCCAGATTAGCCACCTGCAAGGCGGGTGCCTTGCCTGTTACACTATCTCTGTAATGGCACACAACTGCAAAGCATCTCAGTAGCAAAGAGCATCCTAAGTTAAGTAATAATGGTTGTTCCTAAGTTAAATAAGAATGTTTGCAAAGAAATAGAAAAACTAAAGAACAAGTGGTGATATTTTAGTTCTCCTAGTTTATGGCTGAACTAATATAATCATTAAGAAATGTTTCTGGCTTGGGGTTTTCTTGGGAGAGGAGATGGCTTTTCAAACCAATCATAATCTCTTGAGATAAACCTTAATGCACTTCCACATTATGCCCATGTCCACTGTCTACTGTCCTCCCGTTGTTCATCAATTTGCTCGAGCGGGTCCAGTAACGTCTCCATTTTGAGACTTGTTGTTACTGTTTTTGGCATATCAAATACATCACAGGGAGCTTGCCAGGCTTTGCTGTGCAGGCGAGATACTTTTGGTAACTTGCTGGGCTCTCCAAGAGGGGCAGAGGACTCGAACTTGGGTCGGCCGGGTCAGTTGCATGCAAGGCAAATGCCCTACCCGCTGTGCTATCGCTCCTTTTAACACACAAATAACCTACCTCCTTTATTGTTGCCCATCGCTCAGGGACACGCCAGAGTTCCTCTCTGGTGTAAGTTAGCAGTTACCTTTGGTTTCCATGGAAACGTAATGCTCAAGCCCAGATGCCGAGAGAAAAGATCTCTGAGGAGTCCAGTTAATAGAGTAGGAATAATATACTCCTAACAATCACATCAAATGACAGAAATTTGCAGGTCAGCAGCAGTGAAGCAGCTGGCCCAATTAGTGCCCCAGCCCTGGTTGTCTGAAACTGTCCTTCAAACACCAGGAAAACACCTTGTTTTCCGACACCTTTGTCTGGGTACACACTCCAATGTGTGCAGCCCCAGGAGGATCTGGGTGGAGCTGACCCAGTCATGAAATCAGATGCACAATCACCCACCAACACTTTATTTAAACACTGTGGTTTACAAAATTTTTTCTGATGAGTTTTTATAGGCATTTAATATACCAACACCAATCCTATCACCACTACTGCCTTCCCTCCACCATTATCTCCAATTTTCCCAACCACTACTCAAGTCTAAATTGACAATTAGATCCTCAAATTTACTCCAAATGGATTTTTTTTCTTGGTTAGTTTGTTTTGCTTTTGGTCCATACCTGGTGGTGCTCATGACTTAACACCTGACTCTGGCTCAGGAATAACTCCTGGTATGGCTTGGAGGGACCCTCTGGCATATCCGGGGTGCCAGGGATTAAACGAGCATCAGCAAGGCAAGTACCCTAATGCTGTGCTATCTCTTCAGCCCCTTGTTTGTCTGGGGGATGGGTTGGACATCCCAATGCTCAGGGGACTGTGCAGCGCTGGGGATCAAACCTGCCTGGCTATGCCCCAGATTTCATGGCATCTGGCTTCCCGCTAAAAACACCGTGGGGAGGGGAAGAGATGGTCCAGCAGGGAGGGCACTTGCCTTGCACATGGCCAACCTGGGTTTGATCCCTGGCAATGAACGTGGTCCCCTAAAGCCCACTAGGAGTGACCCCTGAGCACAGAGCCAAGAGTAAGCCTTGAGCAACCACTGGTGTGCCTCTCCCAACAAACTTTTTTTTTTTTTTGCTTTTTGGGTCACACCCGACGATGCACAAGGGTTACTCCTGGCTCGTATACTCAGGTATTACTCCTGGCAGTGCTCAGGGGACCATATGGGATGCTGGGAATCGAACCTGGGTCAGCTGCATGCAAGGCAAACGTCCTTCCCGCTGTGCTATCGCTCAAGCCCCCCCTCCCATAAAAATTTTAAAGCAGTGGGGTCATGGTGCACATGACCTTGTGGAAGACAGAACTTCAAACACCCACTGTCCCCCATAAGTCCTTTGAATGGTTTCACATGCATAGCCCTGGTGGTGGTGGGGGGAGTGAGGGCCCCCTAGGAGGGAACAGACTGCATAGGTCACCCTAGGATGACCCTGTAGTCTCAGAGGGGACCAACTTCAGTCTATAGGGAGATGCCTGGTTGATTGTGAGGCAGAGCAAACCCTCCAAAGCGCATGTTTCCATAACACACATTCCCAGAAGCCCATGACCAGCATCCCTGGTAAGCTCTTGTGTCCAGTGGGAAGCAGTAATCGGCAGGCAGAGTATATAGTGCCCTGAGGGAATGGACAATCGGGCATGTCTAAACCCACCTTGCAATCAGGACCGCACAATACTTCAAATCACACATCATACCCGTACTCCAAGATTATGGCACCACAGTTAATAAGGATCAAATTAGGAGGCAGCCAATCTTAGAGGGAAAATATACATTTAAAAAAATATATACATATATAAAAAGCACACAGGGCTCAACAACATGCTAGTGATCTCTTATAGAAGGGCTTAATGGCTCCTGGGTGAAATACAACAATCTTCACACTCCTTCCTCTAAGGATACTTTTTTGTAGCATTTTCAGTAGTTTTTCATAACAAACAGTACAAAATAAATTATTTCGGTTCTGCTTTGGGTCAGGGATTGAGGTTCAGGACGGAAACATCCGAAATATGATAGTGGGGAAGTATAATGGTGGTGGTGGGATTAGTGTTTGAATATTAAATGTAATCAAATATTTTGAACTGCTTTATAAAATGAATAAATGAATAAATAAACTGGCTTTTCATCCCTCAAATGCAGCAGCCGGTTTGGTGCCGACATTTTCCCTCTTCTTTGGTTGGAAAGTGCTTCCCAATTCAGAACGAGAGGAAAATTGTTCTGCCTCAGGCCACCTAAGCAGCAAGTGTTAGACTTTTGATGTGACACACTACAAGTTCACTTGATCACTTGACTTCCCGTTAATCATCGATTTCCTCAATCGGGCGCTAGTGACGTCTCCATTTGTCCCTGTCGCGTGCTAGTGTAGCCCAATGGCGTCTGTTCGTTCTAGGAACACGAAGAGCCCCAAACCGATCGTTCATGGTCTTGATGAAGAAGTCTGACCATCTGGTAGGTGGGCGGCCATGCGGTCTTTTGACATCCTGTGGAATCCAGTCGGTAACAGCTCTAGTCCAGCGGTCATCTCTAAATCTTATTACGTGACCAGCCCATCTGATTTTTGATGGCTTGGCAAAAATAGTCGGATCTCAGAAGGGAGAACATTCCCCTGACCCTGAAGGTGTCACCAATATGGCAGCATTGAGAAGTATGAGAAAGGAGAGGCCGATAAAATCTCACACTACACGTTATAGAGAAAAAATGTGCATCTTAATGAATTCGGGGTCCTCCTCGGTGGACCAGGACATTGCCTCTTCCTACCTTCTTTTCCACCGTGACCCCCTCCCCCCATTCCCACAGGCTTCCTCT